TGGCAGGGCCGACGACTGGTATACTTCGTCTTCTCCGCGGACAGATCGTTATGACTACGGATCTGTCTACATGGACGGGAACCCTTATTCTGCGGGTCCTTTGCCAGCGCCTCCTGTTGGTTACGACAGGAGGTGAGGCAAATCCATGAGAAAACCACCCAGTACGGGCACAGGGTTGCAATGTTGATCAACCGATCGGGCATCCGCTTCGCCATCCCATGAGCAGCTTCCACGCCTTCGCACACCACTTGCCAACGACACACAACATTCTAACGGCTCTCAAAATGGTATCAAAATTATATGACGACTTAACGACATGAGCACAAGACATGATGACACACCAGTTGCGCGTCAAGGAAGACAGGAGAATTTCTGGATGGGAGCAACAGATGTAGAACTGGCTTTCCACGAAAATCTTCACATCAGCTGCCTTGCATTGCGTTCACTCAGATAGATGGATTCCCCTTCTCCCCTTTGTTGCAGAATCTACACATGGAATTTCTGTTGTACTACGAACTATAACTGATTATCATTTCACCGTGACAGACCGTCGCCGTCATTAATCGGCCAACAACTGCCAGGCGTTGCGCTGGCCGCGCTTCTCTCGTCAGTCCCCACGGGTGGCTGTCGTACCAGTCGGGAGAATCTTCCGACAGGGTTCAGACAAAACGAAGACATGATAGGCCCCTTCGAAACCACGATCGAGACCGATCGCCAGGGTCCGATTGGGGCCAGCTGTGCTGGTTAAGAGGACGGTGGCGAGGTTTCACACTGACTTGCGGAGCGAACAGAGCCTAGAACGCTGCGGACCCCTGTTCCTGAGACAAACCGGACATTTTCACTAGCGCAGAGCGGCGGTGAAGGATGACGACGTTCGAAAGATTGGGGAAATGCCGGATGATGATATGACGGAAAAGACGGCTTTTAGCTTACAGTTACTCAAGCCAACACGCGCATTCATGGGACGGGGCGGTAGGGGTGGAGTTTGCGGCCATTCCCATGTTCTCTCTATCTGTTTCTTTATTTCTCTCTTTTTGTTTTACTTTCGGCTGTCTCTCTCTCTCTCTCTCTCTCTCTCTCTCTCTCTCTCTCTCTCTGTGTCTTTCCTGATAGGGCTGGCTTCTTTGCTTTATGCTGTATACAGGGATGGTTATGTAGTTTATGAGACATGACTTGCATCCGCCGAATCATTTGTCAGTTTCGTCTACTACTAAGTACCGTGTGAAAGCAAGAGATTTGGTGGCCGTTTGATAAACGGTCGACTTCGAGACATCCCATCCTGCGTCTCCTGGAGGCGAATTTGGCGCGCCAACTGCCCCGCGATGAATTGCCTGATCGGCGTGAGGCATGGCCTGCTCCTGCAGCGTGCCCAGATATCATGGTGTGTGCTTTCCGCTTCCTCTGCCCGGCATGTCGGTCGGGAGCTCTCACCAATGAGGGGCGGGCGGACTCGAGATGAAAATGGCTAAACCGAATTCGTGGCACGCTACGTTGATACGTGCGCCGTTGGTGCTGGTCTTCCTCTGTGACACATCAGCAGAAAGAAGTCCAAGACAGCCCAGGGATGTTCTTTGAAAGTCTTCGTCGCCAATTCGAATACCAGCAGATCTGACATAGATTACGGTACGAAATCTAGGGGTATCTGGCACTCGGAGGGCTCGCTGCAGCCAAGTTTGAAGTGTTTAGTGCGGCGGCATCATGGTGTTGCACAGCGTGCAGCGGAGGAGCTATTACTGGCAATGACATCATGCATGGTGAAGCTCCACGGATTGTGGCCCCATCTGTTTGAGTGCCTGCCGTTGTGATCGTTCATACATGCCCCATTCCATCACTGAGGTTTTGATTGGCCGCACATTGTCATATGACTGGGTAATGCATCTGCAGCATCTCGATGAATCCAACGGGTTTCGTAGCCAATGAGTGATAGCGGCTCTAGATAGATGGTTCACTTGCAGCAGTCCGACCTCGAGCACGCCGCTTCTTCTTCCTAGCTTCTTACACGGGCTTCATAAAATAAGGCTGGCAGATGGGTATTCCCGTGGTCTGAACTTTGAATTGATTAGGCAAATACATCAGACGAGACATACTTTGTCCGAACCCGTCTTTGGTAGAGCCAACGATTTGAAGTTTATCTTGACTTCGAATGATATCGTTGGCATAAGTATGATACATGGTCGAAATCCCCCCCTGGCCAGCTTTTACGTCGTGGCGTCTGCCCCTTGTTGCTTCCAGGCCTGCGCCATGGCCAGCAAGTTTGACAAGTTTTGTGATTGTTTGTCGTCTGCCGGGAAGACATAGTCGATGTACTCCTCGAAACTGTCATCCTCCAGACGTCTTCTGCGCTTCGTCTTGCGCGGCATCAGCTTTTGCACTTTTTCCACATTGTCCTCGGCGCCGTGCATTCGCTCAAACGACAACCAGGCATTGAGAAGTGTCACGCTCTCCTCCTTGAGGTCCTTCTCTCGCATGCTCTTGTGCGCACGCTCAAACACCTTGCGCGCTCTCGTCTTCGCTATATCGCTAATCGGCGCTTCCTCCTCCTCCGCTTCCTCATCTTCCGGAATGTTCAGCTCGAAGTGGGCATAACTGATCCAGACCTTGACATGATCCGTCTTCTCGAGGAGACGCTCATAGAGCTCTCTCGTACGATCGTACTCGCCTTCCTCTTCCTCAAAGTCAATGTACGCCTTCCACAGGAGCTCGGGCATGTCTAGGACCATCTGGTTGACGGCCAGCTCAAAAATAGCCCTCGTTCGGTCTAAGTCATCGAGGCCTCGCTCGAGCTCGGCAAACTTAATCCAGGTCTGGCAATTGGCCGGGTTCCACTCAATGTGCTTTTCATACAGCGTCCGGCACCGCAAAAATTCAAAGAGCTTGAGTTCCAGCTCAATGTACCCCCTGAACAGCTTGTCTTTTGGACACATGCCGATTGCTTGGCCAAGCGTTTTTCGAGCGCTTGTGAGCTCGCCCTGTCGGATTTCGAACTGGGCTTTGAGGAGCCAGATTTTAGCAAAGGTGAACTTCTTATGAGGTATGAGCTCCAAGCACACTTTGTAAATCTGCCGAGCTCGCTCAACATCCTTCGCCTGTAGCTCCTCAAAGATGGCGTAGTTGATCCAGAGGTAGATATAACGCCTCCAAAATCGCTTCTCCTGCGCAGGCGGCACCTGGGCGACGGCTCTCTCATACACATCTCGCACCCTGTCCGCATCGCCCGCTGTCTCCTCAAGCCTGGTGTAGTCAAACCAAGTATCGTAGTTCTTTGGGTTTTCCTTGACTTGGTTCTCATAAAAGACGCGACGTTTCGAGAGCACGACGTCTTCAACGCCATCTCTGTCCCCGAACTGCTTCTCAAACGTGGTGTACGCTTTGTGCAGGGCCATGGACTTTGAGCGGGGGAGTCGGTCCATGGCGTACTTGTAAATCGCCCTGGCCCTTTCATACTCTTTCATCTTCGCTTCGAAGCGAGCATAGCTGACGAATAATTTCTCGTCGACAAACTCATCTCCCAAAGCCTCGACGGCTATCCCGTATACTTCTCGCACCATGTCGCTGGTCCCGAACTCTTCCTCGAACCGTGCCCACTTGATCCAGTTTCTAGGTTCCGGATGAACCTGTGTGAACTTCTCGAATATGTCGCGGGCTCGGTCGTATTCTCCATATCGCTTTTCCAGCTTGATATACGCGCTCCAAGCGGCTTCGTCGGGTTGCCACTGCATCCAACGGTCGAATACGCTACGAGTCTTTGGGATCTCGCCCAGCATCTCCTCCATGTAAACGTATTTGTACCACAGCTTGTCAACGCGTGGGAGCCGAGCGACGGCTCTGTCGAACAGATTCCGAGCATGGGAAATATCGCCATTTTTCACTGCCAAACTGTTAGCGATAGTGTTCCATGTGAGCAAGGTCTGGCGGGCTCGTACGTACTTTCTGATTCGCAGTATCTTATCCACAATGGAACGGAATTAGGATGCACATCGAGTGCTCTTTCGAAAATGGACCGCGCACGACGAAACTCCTTCTGTTCCAGCTCCCACTGCGCATATCGCATCCAGTTATTGAGGTTGACTCGGTTGCGCCTGACATAATCCTCAAACTCCCTCCGCTTTCGTCCCTGGAATTCGTGGAGCTCCTCCAAGTCGGCAAAACGTTGGGTAGGAGCTTGCAACGCGACTTCCTGACGGTCAACCGCCTCGCGCAGGAGTTGCTCCGCGGATATTTGCACCGGCGCGGGAGCCTTGTTCTTGACCTTCGGAGGTCCTCTAGATGCCTCCATGATTGCGGCGGGTGCCCAGGAGGCTTCGCTTGCGAGTATTCTGGTGATTAGAGGCGAAGTTGTCGAATCAATGATTTGGTTGGTACGCGTAGCCGTGAATTCTGATTAATGTGAGAAGTGTGTGCTCCTGAAAATCCCGAGAACTGGCTGTCGTTGAGCTTGTTGATCCACACGTCGTTGTTGTAGATTGGCCAAGATTGCAATGAAAAAGCACACCCACTCTTATCGGATAATCAGCCACCCCGATAACGAAGTGGCTGGTGGGTTCTGAAGACCGCGTCTGCGAGTAGGTACCTAATACCTGACACAACTGATTGAAGTGGAGATCTCAAATTTAGAAGAGGCCGTCGACTATGTTATGTCGTCTCAGCGGAACTACTGCTAACATATTCATCGACCAGATATCTACTGCTGCAATGTTGGAAAAGATAATTGCATCTCCCGAGTCTTTTAAGGCACCACCTGGGCACCTGAGTTAGGGGTGAGGTTGTTGCTGGTTGTGAGCACCTTCCCTGCGTGTCAAACTCCTGCACCTACCTAAACTAAAGTGGATCCGATCGCCCAAGGTAGCACAGGCACGGGTTCGCCTCCAACGTAGCCTTGCAAGGCTCACAGGAGATAACTTTTCGTCACAACAAATTCATCATTTCAACTGCGCCAGACCCTCAGTAGCGTGCTAACTTACGAACGAAGACGTGCGGAGAACGCGACGTCATTTTTTGCAATGGCTACCCTTGCAGAGGAGCTTTTCAACGACTTCGCTGACTCTGGCTCGGAGGCCGACGAGACTCAGCAAGATGGCAATGACGCACTGGGTCTCGACCTTGCGCCCCAGACGGTCAATCACAGCTCGTCAAACGACATGGACTTAGACGCAGATGATAGCGAAGCTGCTGCAGATGACGATGCGATGGCTGGCGTCAGTAAAGGCACCGTCGACACTGTCGAGGACGCTGAGGATGCCAAGTCCAAGGTTGAGAAGATGCAACTAGGCGGCGTGAGCGATGTTCGCAGTATTGCCAGTCTCATGCAGACCCTGGAACCCGTTCTAGAGGTTAGTACACACCCACAGAACACGTCTGGCTCTATTGAAGCAGTGTTTACATCTCGTTTTCGGAGAACTAGCCCTGACTTCGTACCTCGAATGCTGCAGAGAATCGCACACTACCAGTCGCAACCTACTCCGACTCAGCTGATTGGCAATATCGAAGATCACCCCGAATACCATCTCCTGACACAATCGAATAGTTTGTCGACGCTTATCGATAGCGAAATCGTTCTTGTCCACAAATTCATTAGAGATCACTACTCGATTCGGTTCCCCGAACTCGAAACGCTCATCACCAACCCGCTAGAGTACGCCAAGGTCGTGGCCATCTTAGGAAATGGTCCCCTCGATTCGGAGAACATCAAGACTTTGCAGCATTCTACAGACAATCCTCTTGAGGCATCACTTCGTTCGGTACTCGATGGTCCATCCCTGATGATCGTGACGGTGGAGGCCACGACGACCAAAGGTCGTGAGATGTCTCTTGATGATCTCACGCGAGTGCAGAGAGCATGCGAGATGGTGTTGTCCTTGGACAGGGCGAAGAAGACTCTTACAGAATACGTTCAGTCGCGCATGAATCTTTTCGCGCCGAATTTGACTGCGATGATCGGGTCTTTGACTGCTGCGCAGCTATTGAATGCTGCTGGAGGGCTAACGGGTCTGTCCAAGACGCCCGCATGCAATATTGCTGCCTGGGGGTCGAAGAAAGGAGCCGGCGCAGCCGGTCTGGCTACCAACATTGGCATTCGTCAACAGGGATTTCTCTATCACTCTCCTATTATTCAAGGCATTCCCAACGACCTCAAGAAACAGGCCATGCGTATTGTCGCAGCGAAGCTTCTACTCGCTGCTCGTGTAGACCGAGTTCACTCTAGTCCCGACGGCTCGACAGGCGAAGAGCTCAAGGGCCATTGTCTCGAGCGACTAGAGAAGCTCACGGAACCACCTCCCAACAAGGGCCCCCGAGCGCTTCCGGTCCCTGACGATAAACCATCGCGCAAGCGTGGAGGAAGAAGAGCTAGGAAGGCCAAGGAGGCTACGGCCATGACGGAGCTACGCAAGGCGCAGAACAGGATGGCATTTGGTAAAGAGGAGAGAGAAGTCGGTTATGGCACGGGAGAGGGCACTGCAGGACTCGGTATGATCGGCCAGGCCAATGACGGCAGAATTCGCAACCTGCAAATCGACCAGCGGACGAGAGCAAAGCTCAGTGCGAAGAACAAGGGTTGGGGCGGCGCAACTTCGCTGAACGGGGCAGCATCGTCCCTTCGAGGGTTCGGGCAAGCAAACTCCAACATCGACCTTCGTGGGAAGGGTCTCAGGACGTCAGGTGTCGGCACAACGCTGGGTGCGCCTACGGGCACAGCGTCGTCACTGGCCTTCACTCCTGTGCAGGGTCTAGAGCTCGTCGATCCCAAAGTCCAGGCTGAACTCAGTCGAAAGCGGAAGGCCGAGGAGGACCGATGGTTCAAGGGAGGAACCTTCACGCAAGTTGCTGGCTCATCCAATGGAGGCTTCAAGAAGCCCGACCTGCCTCCCAGCAAAAAGGTTGACACTGGTGCAGGTAAAATGGGACCTCCACCTCCGCGGAGCGGCTGAGAAGTCAAGCCATAGCAACGTGGAAGGTAAAACACCAAGCATGTCCATGAAGTCTATCTCTTACCCGAAAGACTGATCCCGGCATCTGGAGGGGTGTGTTGGCAATGGGGTCCGCGGCAGGTATGGCTGGGCCGGCATGGTCGGCGTGCGGCGTTCTTGGAGGTTTGCTATTCGGAAGGGGGCCGTTCGACATAGAGAAATGGAACGGGAGCGTTACTTGCACGGAGGTTCGGAGAACATGAGATCCCTGTCAAAGACGTATTTGTTGTTTCCTCTCGGCACCTATTTTCAAAGTTGAGATGTAAGATTCTTTGTAACGGTAATCGGCAAAGGCTAGTCAAACGTTTTCTAGGCTGCCTGTGCTGCATCAGTAAGCTGTCATGTACGTAGCTACTTGTTGTCTTCTTGTGATGTATATGCTTCCGTGCGGTCATGCCATTCTGGCCCACGAGTGAATCGTTTTTGTCCCATCTTCTTGGAGGTCATCACCTTATCACCCCAAAAAGCGTTGACGCTCGCCCCTCTGTAGCAGGGAAATAAGAGAGACTTGGGAACCGTCGGCAGGTTGAAAGTTTAACTAGACCGAGGGCCATGGTGGCGTTGATTAGCCCTTGGTCTATTCCTCTTATGGTTGGGGCCAATGTGAGGGGAAGTTTGCAATTGCTTGCTTATTTTGTTGGTCCAGTTCTCTACGTATACAGCCAATTTTCTGTGATGGGGATGAGGATACCATCCTGGCTACTGTTCACCGAGGGTTTAGCTATTTCGGTATGCGGAGAAGCTTGTTGCCCTCCATCTGGAAGAGGGGGGACATTGCGTTCCCAGCAAGCGTCCGAAGGCAATTGCGCACGAGACGATGTTTAAATTTTGCAAAGGGGTCTGTGAAGGCAGCATGGCCGAAGTGAAAAGGGCAAACCCATGGAACATGCAAAAGTCAGGCGCGAAGGGGAAAGAAGAAGAAACAGGACAGCTAGCCCCGTCACCAGCGCACTGGTCGCCAGCTCAAGCCCACGCGTTGCGACGGCGCCGAACCGTCGTCCTTGCGAGCATCACAGATCCGGGGTAGCCATGAAACAGGACTCTCAAGCCCTTCACTTATAGCTTTGTCCGGCTGCGACTCTTTTTTTTTTTGTCCTGTCGTATTCGATTGGCCTTGGGTGCACCGGACTGGATTCCGAGCGGCCGCAATCCGTTAGATCGAGGTTGTAACACCCAGAGTTTGTCTAGACAAGTCATGTACGCGAGACACCTGCATAGGATCTACATGTTTATTTGCTTGATACTGGGTACTCCCGCGGTTGCTTCTAGACTGCGCTTTGGCTCACATTCGACCAACGAGTCTCTGCCTCTGTCTCTCTACGGCAGTGGCCTTGTGCCCGGGGAAGCGGCGATCCTTCAGATGAGATTCGTCCTCCCGTCGACGGGCCAGCTTCAGTAGGGGTTTCGGCGATTTCCCTCCGCGGTCGAACGAGCAGCGGGGCCGGACCGCATCCTTATGGCACGATGACGTTTGGGGTGCGAAGTACGGGATTGTATTCCCTGGGCACGAGGGGGCACATGCAGGACGGACAGGGGGGGGCCGACGAGGGTGAAAGGATGAGTGGGAATACCTTGGGTCATCAAGTGGATTATCCCCGCCTCGCCGAGAAGAAATGGAAGCAGGCAGCGGCCGAAAAAAAAAACCCCCCCCAAAAAAAAAGAAAAGGAGAAAAGGGGAGGGGTTTCTGCCGAGACCCTGAAGCATGCAATCGGGGCGCCCAAAGCCCTGAACGAAAGAAGCACCATGATCAACAAGCGCTGCTCCTTCATGCTGTGGCTCAGGGCCTTCCTTAGACAACATGGACGTCTTCTTTTGCAGCGGCAGACACCAAAATGCCATGCTTTCGCAGCTCGCTTTATGGCAGCTCCGAGATTTGACTTTGTGGCTGCAACTTGCACCCATGTCGACAGAAGGTCCAGAACTTCAGGGACCAAAAGATCGTCCTGATACTCGCAGGGAATGTCCCTGTTATTAGTGGAGCCTGGAAAGGAAGACTCGGAGGACTGACCTCAGATACTTCAGGGGACACAAGGGTAACCACAGCGGTGGGCAGGGGACCTCGTCCAAAAAGCAGGGCACGTAGCGGAGGCGAGGACAAGCGGCCTTCCTTGCCTCCGGGGGGTTGGGTAAAGCAATAGGCTCTCGTTGGTTGAATGCTATCGGACTCGATACCGATGCAGGTATCCGTACTTTGCCCGTTGAGCAGGCACGGGAGGGGTCATTTAGGAACAGAGAGACCTAGCGCAAGAATCGCATACACGCGCCGAGCACTTGGTTTTATGCGCCACGGGACGGGACAAGGGTGGAAGGCGTATGATAAAGAATATGTTCAGAGGTGTACTGTCTTTGACACAATAATTGATCAGTTGAGTTGAGGTTGAGCAGTGCGCTTCACGTCGCAAGGTGCCGGCTATCATGATTGATTCCGAGCGGGGAGAGAGCGCGGACTTTGGGGCACAGTCAGCAGACACACCACTTTGGTGGAGTATGTCCGTGCCCTACCTGTCCTCAGATACGGGGGAAGACGTCGGGATGATAAAGCCAATGACGTGAGGATGATGTTGGATATTGTACATGCCTAGTCATACTGCGATATCCGCATTCGTAGGCTGCCCCTGCTGAGGCAACTGGGGTGTAGCCTTCTGCTGTGCTACACAGCAAAAGACGCGCAGTACTTCGATGTACACTGCTTTGTGCCGGCTCAGGCAATCCTGTCGCTGAGCAAGATGAACAGACTATAGGGCGGCCGGGAGCAACTGATTTTGGCCGTTTTGCAACGGCGTTGCAGGTCTGTCGACAATTGGCTTCTGTGCAAAAGAGGGGGAAAGAGCCAACACGTGGCAGGGAGATGAGGAAAAAAGCAAGCCGAGCAAATAGGATAGAAGAACAAGACTACCTGCTGAGATGACGGGCGGAATTGAGCTGGGAGATACGAACGGCAGGTCGAAACCCTCAACAATGGGCCTTAGACGACTGTATTTTAACCTGCCGGTTTCAAATTTTGAGTGACGGCCGGCTCTTGGCTCTTGCTGAGTCTATTGAGTCGCATGATTTCAGCGATGTTCTTTCAACGAGGAGATGAAGCCGCTTCGCAGCTTGCATGTGGGGAAGACTCGGTTGCGGACTCGTCCAGGCCTTGCCAAGCCGCGATATCCGTTCACCTCTTGGAGACTTATGTATTGTGCCGCTCAACTTGTCTGCGTAAATACCTCAGTTGCGGCCCGGAGGTCGTTGCTTCGGTACGTGTGAAGATGCCTGTCAGAATTACTGAGCGAGAGCCCCTCTTTGCCGCCCTCTTTTTTTCTTCCCCCCCCCCNCCCCCCTTTTTTTGCTTTCTTTCTTTCTTCCTTCCTTCACATTGTTCTTTTCGGGGACCAGATGCACTCAGAATTGCGCAACTACGTCAGCGAGCGCGAGCAAGCCGGGCCACACAGCCAGGCCTCGGGCCAAGGGCCCGCTCCAAGCGAGGGACGTGGAGCGGCCAACGGAAAACGGGGATGAGAGCGGAGGAAACGGGACGACAGTAATCGCATAGTAGATTTAAGGTGTTTACCTCGGCGGCGGCAACGAGAAACACCTGAGCACAGCGTGAAGCATATCCATCGCAAACAGTTGATTGTGTTGTGGTCGGCGAGCGAGAAGCTTCGACGTGTAATCAAAGTGCGAAATCAAAGATAAGATGGTCGAATTTCCTTGATTTATGCTGTCAACCGATCGGCAAAGTCGACTGGTTGCAACAACAAGAGAAAGACAAGAAGAACGAAGGCTACCGCAGTGACCAGTGTCTAGCTGAACTGCGGAGTGAGGGCAGCAGCCGGACTAATCACTCCGGGAAGACGAGTGCTTGCTGCGTGCTGTGTACCTGTCAATCGTGATCGGTGATCAGCGATCAGTGATCAGGCGGAATATTCTGCGGCTAGTGTGACGTTGTTTTCAGGGTCTGAGTAGGTATTGTGCAGATGTGGGCTGGCTGAGCCTGACAACAACGTCGAAGCTTGGATACCCTGCCTACCGTAAGGGTCGTGATCGTCGATCTGATGGAGTGGGGAAAGAGAAAGAGAGGGAGTGTGAGGGGTTTGGTACGGATGTGCCAAAAGGTGAAGAATGGGAAAGTTGAAATGGGGGTGGGGAGTGTGCTGGACGCCAAGGGGAATCAGTTCAGCACAGGTCTCGTACTGCAAAATGCGACGCAGATGCCCTCAGTATGAGCGGCTGGGAAGAAACAGAAGGCCGGGCGGACGGGCGGGAATAAAACTCGAGGTTCCTTGAGCGGCGCCGGTGGTGGTGTCAGTGGTGAGCTGATGAAGAATGCCAGAGGAGACAGAAGCACGCCTGCATCAGGACATGAGGGGCACTTACTCCTCGGTGAGGCTGCTGCGTACTTACCAAGTATTCAGTCGTACGTAGTTCTGGACGTAAGGATGGATGTCCCTGGATCGCTTTTGTGTAGTAGAGGGGTCATTGGGAGGAAACTGAAAATGGCATGAGAACAAGGATGCCGACGGCCAGTGACGACTGGGATAACGGTGGCAGTAAGGGCGGGGGGAGGGGGGGCGGCAGGCAACAACCAAAGGAAAGGTGAGGTGAGGAAGGGATCGGTAATTGGACACAAAACGGAAGCAAAAAGCAAAGCAATGGGATTCCCAGGCGAGGGATGGAGATTCTGGTCTGAGAAACAAAAGCGCTGGACGCCGGCGCATGATTGACGGGAAACGGAATCGGGGTGTGTTCCGTGTCTGATTTGATTGAACGGTACTGGCTATACTAAGGTAGGTAGAGCTAGGACCCTGGAAATCGAGGAAATCAACGATGCACCATAGGAATCGGCGATGAGGAACGAGTACCTGCTGCTCCCACATGGTGGTGGGCCTCTCCGCCTTCGCAGGAGCCGGTGGAGAACCGTCAGTACCCTTGGGGTAAGTACATTTCTGGAGCACAAGCTGGGAGGGGATCAAGGGGA